TCTGATACCACTTGTCACGACCTTACTCTCGATCGTGCGGCCCTAGCTCTCAATTCCGTTAGAGCGCTAGGCAGCCTTCTCTCAAACTCACAAGCAAGCAAAGAACAAGAAAGCAGAGACAAAGGATTGGGAGAACTCTCTAGTGTGTATTACTCTAAAAAATGATGCAATGGGTTACAAGTGAGGGAGATGGCTGCGTCGAGGGAGCTCGAATCGCCGATTCTGGAGGGAGAGAGCGTGCGACGGAAAATGGCATCCAGATCCATCCCTTCTTCTCCTTTTTCTTTTCTCAGGCGGCCAGATCCATCCCTTTATATCCCATCGGGCAGAGACAGAGGAGTTACGAAGAGAGAGATGAGAGAGATGGTGAAGGTGGCGCAACGGCAGATTCGATGATTGTTTGGTGGCATCGAGGAAGTGGAAGGTAAACAGACAACGGTCAGATGGCAGCATTGCGAGCTTGAAATGGGGAGATCTGGGCACAAAATCGAGCCAAAATCTGGGCACAAAATCGAGGCAAATTGAGGATGCAAACAGGGAAACAGACAGCGGCGGAACTGGGAAATTAGGGATTTGATTCTCCAGTTCCGTTACAGGGGACGCAACATCGGAAACCACCACCACATATGCACTTCTGAATAATGAAATATCTTCTGGGACAAGGAGAGGTTAACCGGGGATAGAGCCGAAATTTCTTTCCCCCTTTCATTTGCACTTTTCGATTTTCCGACCCGAAGCGAATAAGAAAGAAAAAAACTAAAAATTACTAACTCGAAATCAAATTCTGAAAGATTTTCTTAATTTTAGAGAAACATAAACCCAGAAGTTGATGGAGAAGATATGATTTTTTTTACTTTTTCTTGACCCCCTTCATTATTTATTTCTTTTTGTTTTTTAATTAAATCCCCGTGGAAAGTTAATTGACTAAGTGTTGCCACCTCAACCGTTATCGTTTGTCCAGTCAGCATATAACATAACACCGTCAAAGAATTGGACGGAAGTGGCAATTTTTGGTATTTCGCCAAAAGTGTCTATGTTTGGCCAAACTGTTAAAGTTTTGACTATACAAGTGTATTTTGCCTTGGTTTTTCAAAATTAGAACTTTTTATTAGAAGGTTTCACTTCAGTGCCGGCCCGATGATAGATTTTTTTTGGTCTGCTGTATGCACCATTGGTGATGGGCTTTCTCCAATGAGCTTGCACAAAACCATTTCAGCCAATTAAATGTTAGGGGGATAAAACATGAGCCCAATAAGGCACAGTTTACTATGATCTTTGAACACGAACCCATTAAAGCCACTTGCGCGGGTCATATACAGTTGTATCCAGCTAGCTCGCCAAGTCATTTACATAATGATAATAGTAATACTCATCTTTTTTTTTTTGACAAAAGATAATCATATATTGATACTCAACAAAAAGATCATTACACCGCCTGTCTCAACCAGGCCACAAAATCAAAAGAACGACTCGCTATCGGGTACAAAGAGAGGGCCTTTCTAGCCACCAAGTGGGCTACCCTATTACTACGCCGACCAATGAATCGAACACTAAACCCATCATTCTCCTCCAAGTACATCAATACCTCCCGGAAGATGACACCCGCCGTACCATCACTCCCTTGATCCCCAAGCAACCTATCGACTACCACCTTCGCATCCCCTTCAAACCGGACCAGCGATAATCCTCTGTTTCGACACCAGATGATTGCTTCCCGGAGCGTCAACACTTCCACCAGCATTGGGTCATCTATCTCAGGGATACTCATCAAACTTTGGCAGTTACAAAAACTTTTTACAATTTCTTAACGCTCAAGCTGAAGTAACTAGTAGCCCGTTGATCGCTTTTTTCCAGTGTTATTAAAGCGGAGCCGAGCCACTCGGTCCGACTGGTAAAACTGCCACTCAGTCATAAAATCGGTTCGCAACAGTTTAAAAGGCGCTCCGGTCTTATGTAGCGGTTGATGAGCTGCCGAGGCGGTTAACCGCTTGAGCCGATCGAGTCGCTCGTCCGGTTTTTGCCATTCAACCGTTAAATTTAATTAAAAAATTTGCAGAAAATTGAAATAAACCAAAAACATCGGGGTCTCAAACTAAATCCTTATTTCCATTTCACAATTTCGAAGGAAAGAGACGAGGTCTGATTAAGAAATGTCCACTATTTATACCGATAACGTTTATTAGGTACCGGTTCTCTAACGGTTTTTAAACAGTCTAATGCTGGTTGGACCACTAAAATGCAAGTCATTCGCATTACCAGGTCATGCTCCGATTCGATTCTGAAAACCTTAATTTTTTTTTTATGGCCTCAAAATTTAGTCACCTAATTGGCCAAGATATACATACATTCTCACTGAAATATTGTTCTAAATAAGGATTTTTTTTCTTATCGATTGTCTGTTAAAACATGTTATTCCAACCCACTAACCTTCTTATATCATTGAATTTTGGGTAAAATATATATTTCACCTCATCTTATTACGTGCTTCATTCTCTCTGTAACCCTAGTATTATTGGGTTTAGCTATCGAAAGCTTAGTGTGATCACCTTCGTATGGGTTGAAAACTCATATCTCTATATTTCACTTCGGTGAAGTGTCCTTACCAACGTTTACATTACTACTACTTACTTATCTGGACGTTATTTATTTGTGCTTTCCAAGTATCATTACATTATATATATAGACGCCCCCACAACCCTACTTCTTTGTATATATGCAACTTCTAATAAAAGGAGTACAGTAAAACTGTCCCAAGCTTATAGTTCAGGTCCCTGCCTTCATGGGTAGGCTAAGGGGGAGAAATTCACGAATGTCCGGTTTAGCATCATTCTCGAGTCGTCCCAGACGGGTAAGAAGTTACAATAAAGTATAGTTTTACAGTCCAATGGCTCATACTGCGTGCAGGGTAAGTCGGTAAGATTTATCTATCTTTCAAAGCTGATATTACGTTCAAAAGTTTGATACCATTTATTACTTATGCAATTAACCACAAGAATTCAATAATTCACAAGTCAATAATGTTATTAACCTAATATTATAAAATTTCACTAGTTTCAATAAAATATGTGTATTAAAAATGTTGTACTCTATTTCTATTTGTAGTCATTTTTTTATTAATAATTTGTTCGCATTTAGTACGAGAACGAAACTCTTATCCTTACACAGCATAAAAGTATACCTATTACATATACTAGATCAGTATTCTCCAAAGTGTTAATTGAGAGCAAAAGGGGTAATTAGCCTGGCTTCCATGCAAGAAACTAGAGGTGGCAATTGAATCGGATTCGTGAATTCGTGGATTGGATTGGTGGATCCATGGATTCATGGATTGAATCCAATGGATTGGTGGATTGATCCATGAATCCAAATGACATCCAAAGTTTGGACAAAAATGTAAATTTTGCAAAGTTTAGGTACTAAAATGTCTTAATGAAAAATTTTAGGTACCAAAATGTAATTTTCCAATGATATTTTTTGTATAAAAATATAAATTTTAGGTACCAAAATGTAAATATAAAAAATATAGTACTAAATCGTAATTTGTCATTTGGATCCATGAATCCACCAATCCAATTGGATTTGGATCAAATGGATTAGATTTAAATGGATTGGATTAATTGGATAATTTGGTGGGTGGATTGGAGTGAATTCATGGATTTGAATCCTAATTGCCACCTCTACAAGAAATTAAATGGGAATTAATATTTGGCAGCTAATTGAATGTCACAGGGGAAATCCCATAACAATCATACCCATCATTTAAATTCAATGAAAAATAGGAAGACAAACCAGCAAAAAGTAAAATTAGATGACTAAATGTGTAATTTACCATCCAACTTTTTGCCTTGATTCTACTTCACAAAACCCAAAAGGCCGGCGCACTCAGCTGACAGAACTCTGTGCCTCCTCTGCTTAGAGAGCGGTCGATTTAAAAATTCTCTTTCTTTCCTTCCCTTCCCTTCGCTCTCTAAACAAATCTCCGTCAAGCCTCGCTTGTCGGCCTTCCCCATTCCCTTGCTCGCCGGAGTCTCTTTTCCCCTCTTCCGCCCCATCTCCGCTCGCTCGGACACCGTTCCGGCGAGATCCGAAGGTATCTAATCTAGACTTCTCTCTTTCGTTTCCCCGCCCTTTTCTCCTATATCTTCTGCCTTTTTGGTTCCCGGAAAGAAAAAAGAAAATGTCGGCAGACTAAACCGAACGAGCTACAGTTCTCATTTCCCTTTTCGATTTCTCCATTTAGTTGAGGTTTAGTTTGGGGCTTTTGGAATTTCTCAATTGCTGATTGCTCGGAAGCATCTACCCAGCTGCTGTGTGCAAATCAATCTTGTTGTGAACTATTTGGACAAATAATGTTGCTCGAGGAGTCCCAGCTGACTCTTCTTGATTTTATTTCCTCGCGTTTCTGTGATTTTTTGCCCTGTAGTTTTTAGTCTTGCAATCTGGCTTTTTTACTTGCTTGATAAACTGGTAATAAATTGCTATGGAAAGGATCTGGGATACTGAGAGGAAGTTGGATTAGGTTTCTTAGAGTTGTAGCAAAGGCCCAGTTTAGGCTGCATTTTTACTCCATTGTTGGTTCTCTTTTGGAGGAGACTGTTTCCACTTTGTAGAGGTTGAGTTTCATTGTGCAGTTCGTCCTCTCATCTCTGGTAACTTAGTGGTTTTGTGGTGGAATCTGGATATTGCTGTTATCCTTCAGTGTTTCTCGTCATATCAAGCAATAGAGAGAGTAAATTAGATCTTGAGGGTTTGTATTAGGGTTGTAGCAAGTGCCAAGATTAGGCTGCAATTCTTGCTCAACTTTACTTTTTGGTTTGAGGAGAGGCTTTGAGCTACATGAAGCAATAACAGTGCTCTTAGCTCTGGTTACTTGGGGAGTTTACTGGAATCTGGACAAAAGTCGTCCTCTTTGTTTCTATTTAGTTTTTGTTCTTTTAGGAAATTGCAATGCAAGTTGACAAGACTTCACAACTTTTTCACAACTTCTGCACTTTCTTCAGATGTCTGGTGATGTGGAGAACCCTAAAGCTCCGCTAGGCTCCCCTAAATCCAATGAAGTAAAGTCTACCTGGTCAAGTTACTTACTCGAGAAGACATCTATCTATGGTATAGCAGCAGGCTACTGTATCTCAGCATCCTTACTCTCTATCATCAACAAATGGGCGGTCATGAAATTCCCGTATCCAGGAGCCTTAACTGCTCTCCAATACTTCACAAGCGCAGCAGGCGTTCTGCTATTCGGCTCCTGCAACCTCCTAGAACATGACAAGCTCAACCTACTAACCATGTGGAAATTCCTACCAGCAGCAATCATGTTCTACCTCTCCCTCTTCACCAACAGCGAGCTCTTGCTCCATGCCAATGTTGACACCTTCATTGTATTCCGTTCTGTGGTCCCCATCTTTGTTGCAGTAGGCGAGTCCTTCTTCCTCCGCCAGCCATGGCCAGCTCTCAAAACCTGGCTCTCCCTTGCCACAATCTTTGGTGGGAGCGTCCTCTATGTCCTCACAGATTACCAATTTACCCTCACTGCCTACAGCTGGGCTTTAGCTTACTTGATCAGCATGACAGTCGATTTCGTGTATATCAAGCACGTAGTCATGACCATTGGCTTGAACACCTGGGGGCTGGTTTTGTACAACAATCTCGAGGCGCTAATGCTTTTCCCTCTCGAGTTGCTGATAATGGGTGAGCTGAAGAAGATTAAGCATGAGATTACCGAGGAGAGTGATTGGTACTCCTTTGAGGTCATTTTGCCTGTGGGGCTGTCTTGTCTTTTTGGTCTGGCGATCTCGTTCTTTGGGTTCTCCTGTCGGAGGGCGATTTCTGCTACTGGGTATACAGTCCTCGGCGTGGTGAACAAGCTACTGACTGTGGTCATTAATCTTGTCATATGGGATAAGCATGCGACGTTCGTTGGGACCATAGGGTTGCTGATTTGTATGGTGGGTGGGATTTTGTACCAGCAGTCTACTAGCAATAAGCCTAAGGCTGCTGCAGAAGTAACAGTGAAAGAAACCGAGGGTGAGGGAGGAGAAGCAGAAGAAGTGCAGAAGTTGCTGGAGATGCAAAGTAAAGATGTTTCGGAACCTCAGCAAGGTAAATGAGGAAGCAAATCATAGTTTACATTATTCGCCTTTTGTTCTGATGAGTTCAATTCTGGGGTGCCGATTTCGTGGAATGCAAGTTTTCTGTTCCTTGTTGCCCTTGTGATATTCACATACATAGATTCTTTTGAAGCTTGAATGAGGAAATGTTGTTTCGATTTTGAATTTTGTAACCAATCTCATCAGAACAATTACCTGTAGTAAAAGTGTTTAGTGGCAAATAACTTTGAAAAGTGATCTAGTAATCAATGCTTCTGATGAGTCTAATTAGTTTCTGTTTCCTGGTTGAAGCTTTAACCTGTTGCTTGAGCAGTTTCGAGATGAAAACGTGAGCTACTTAACGATTGAAAGACTGTCTCCATCCGAGTCCGTGCTGGCTTTTATATTTAGCGTGGGTCACATTCTAGTGCAAATTGACCTTAATGGCTGGCTATATAGATTTGCTCAAGCTGTGGACCAAAGCCATAAGGAAGGTACTTTTGAGTGGCGGAGATTGCCTTGTATTTCCAACCCCTCCTGATTATAGTCCACCAAAAATCATGGTCCATAAAACCGTACCGAAAACCATACCGGGAAGGTCAGCGATGTGGTATTTTATGGTAAAATCGTGGTTTACTCGGAGTTCAACTGTAGTGGCATTAAATACCGCCTATCGGTTTAGCCTCTAATACTGGTATTTCGTGGTCGACCAGCTAGCACGGTACGGTTTCATGGACCATGCCAAAAACGAGTTGCTCAAGTTAATTCGAGTTATTAAGACATGCGTTTTGACGGAATTCGAAAATAAATAAACATTTCCTTATTTTACGTAAGTCCCCCTTGGTTTATCGTAAATGCTCATTTTGGTATATCATTAATTTTACGTAGTCGTTCTTACAACGGTGTGTGTTAGTTTACAAAATGAACGAACGTTTCTGGAGGCAAGAAATGAATTCTCAAAACAAATCTTTCATATTCAATAGTTTCTCAAACTAAACTCGAGTTTTAAGAAATAATCATCTTAAAAAAAGTGTATAATAACTCATCGATCGAATGCACTCTTAATCTTTATATCTTTACTAACAAGGCTAAGTGATCAACAAAAGCGTGAACATTCTTCTACTCTAAAGAACTAATTATGATATTATTTGGATTAACAACTTGTATTATTGGAACAAAGGTTAGACAAAAAAAAAAAAAAAAAAACTAACTACTCTTATCAATGCAATTCAACACAGATGAATTGAAACCATCCCCACCATACCATTTATTAACGATGATAGATTATATACACGAACAACAAACTTTGTCTCTCATGAAAAAAAAGGGGGATTTTCTGATTCTGAACTTTTCACAATCAATTTCCCCTCAATTCAACCACAGAAGCTCCTGGATGAGAGCATCTTTTGATCATCGCAAGCAGCAGAAGAACTTGAGAAACGAGAAGCAGTCAACAATGGCGCCGAACCAACTCCGCCGCATCTCCCTCTTCCTCCTCACCGATTTCCTCTCGCTCTCCCTCCGGTAATGCTCCAGCACGTCCTCTTTGTACTTGTAATCCTCTATCCCCTCCGCATCATCCGTCCCGTAGAACACATCCCCCACGAATTCACTCGACCCGCCGCCGCCGCCGGATCGACGGCCGAGATCCAGCGTTGCCATATGCGGCGGCGGAGATCTCTTCTGGCTTCTTCTGATCAGCCTCGACCCCCAGCTTCCCCAGCCGCCGCTGTCGGCGGAGGAGGGGGAGAAGCAGCCGCCGCAGTCCTCTCCGTCGGACAGGCTGAAGGAGAGGCCTCTCGCCATCGGAGGATTTTTGGTTTTTGTGGGAGAGAAAGAAAGAAGGTGGGGGAGAAGGAATTTTCGGGGGAAGAGAAACAGAAATGATGGGGATAGGAATTCGCTTGCTCGCTCGGCCGCCGCTAATACAAGACGCCAGAGGAGGGGAGGAGTGACGTGGCGTGAGATGGTTGGGCGGTGGAGGTGGGAGTAGGAAGTGTTTTTTGATGGCTACTGCCCTGCCTTCCCTCGCCAAGCCAATTACGATAAGTATAATGACTAGTTTTATAATGAAGTGATAATTGAATTTAACATAATTCAATGATTAGAAGAATATAGATTATAGAACCAACCAAAACCATTAGAAACAACAAAATGAAAAAAAAGGAACTATAATAAGAATTGTTGTTGTCTAATGAATATGGTGGGTGGATTGGGGTGGGTCACAAATCAAATCAAAATCGACTTCTTAACGATTTGATTTTATTTGAGATATTGTTTAGGTTAGTTTTCATTCTACCATTAAAAAATGTTACACCTTAACCTTCAATTGAATTTGAAAATACTGAAATTTATCCATGCTAAATCAAAGTCGGTTTCAGACATATCAAATTGAATGTGTTGGGCATGTGACTCGGATCTCACTGCGCTGAAGAAACACCCAATGGCGCTCACGCAAGAGTCAAGTGCGCGAGAAAGGACCACGCCCGGAGGCTGCGCCCGGACACAGAACGACGACGCTTTGGACAGATGTGGACCCTGACCAAGAAATCATGGAAGCGGCGCCGCGTCACTCAAAGGGTAGTCACCATCATAGTCCTAGGTATAATCATGGCTAAAGGTCTTTTCCTAAGTAGGGAGGTGGCCTATATCTCTGACATGTCAGTAGTCATGTCACCATACCATAGTAGTCATGTCACCATATCATCATGTAACTCACCCACCACCATGTAGCCTATAAATACAGCATTTACTCCGGTGGGTGAAGGGGATCGGATTTTTCTGACTCTATCTCTAAAAATTATCAACTTCTCTCTCTAAGATATCACCCTCTCAACTCTATTCGTTGTTTCCTCAGTTCTTTGGTTGACGATTATTCTCCTATTGCTTACTCTCCTTGACCCATCTTCCCGAGTCTCACTCCTACACCCAGTTGGACTCAAACAAAATGCATTTTCATTCCAGACATGAAATTTCTCTTTCTTTCTGAACAAAATCCAGATAATTTAAAATTTTAGGAATCAAGATTAATGCGGCCTAACCATGATTATTTATCATCCTCAATTCAGGTGAGTCACATTAATATTCGACCTTCCGTGGACCAGATCATTCTCCACCTGCCAATAAGCATATAATCACATACCTGAGCACATGTCCAATTTTGTCCATTCGAATTCTGGTAGGAAACCCCAAAATGGTAAAAATAGGCATTTACTTGGAACGTCACGTCACAGCCAAAAACCAAGCTCACAGATTCAGAGAAACAAAGTACCACACGACTCTCTTTGTCTCCATTTCAAGACTTAAGATGATGCGTTCAAGATGTGATCATAATGTACCATTACACATCTTATTGACAGCGTCAAACTTTGAAAGAATCCTTCAGAAGAACTAACAAGATATATATGTAAGAAAATAACAACCATCCCCTTCGCCATAGAAGCAATGTGCGAACTCTTCTCAGGGATGTTGAAATCACCCACAATTGGTAACAGTTGATGTGAAAATGCCAGACAGAAAAGAAGACTGCAACTAATGACTGCCTGCTCCTGCAGTCGAGAGAATACACCACCTGAGAATTACACTTGTAGTTGGTACGATTTATTTCGCGATCTTCAACTCCCCCTCGCAAGCGAAACTTTCCTGCAGAACAGAAGGCACTTAGACTGATGATCCTGACAGCAATGTACAATTGACTCAGATTTGATCACTTGACTTGAGAATATCAAAACTAGGGATGACAAAAATATCGACATTCGTGGATTCCGTAGGAACCTGGCTACATCCCACAGGATAACACTCAACTGTAGGGATATATAGTGGTAAACATGGAATTACCCTGTATCCAATAAGGCGTAGCTCAGGATTTGATTTACATCCTGAACCTCAAGTGGGTATGGAAATATGGGTACCAAAACCAGACTAGTTATGCAGAGCAATGGATAGGCTATTGGATAAGTAAAAGATACCATTTGGGACAGAAGTAAGCAGAGATGCAGGAGCAAACCTTTATAGAACTTTAAGCAGTAGCCTGCAGCAACTCTCTATCTGCACGCCCCCTGATCCTCCTCTCGAGCTCCGGCCTGAAATGTCTAATTAGTCCTTGGACAGGCCAAGCAGCAGCATCACCCAGAGCACAGATAGTATGCCCCTCAATCTGCTTAGTCACCTCCTGAAGCATATCAATCTCTTCCAACTTCGCATCTCCAACTTTCATCCTCTCCATAATCATCCACAGCCACCCTGTTCCTTCCCTACATGGAGTACACTGCCCACAGCTCTCGTGTTTGTAGAAGTACGACAGCCTAGCAATCGCATCAACAACATCTGTAGACTTATCCATCACTATCACCGCCGCTGTTCCTAATCCCGATTGCACATTCTTCAATGCGTCGTAATCCATCAACACGTCATCACATATGTGTTTTGGCAATAACGGGACCGAAGATCCACCTGGGATAACAGCCAGCAAGTTGTCCCATCCACCGCGGACCCCACCACAGTGTCGTTCAATGAGCTCCTTTAAGGAAATACTCATCTCTTCCTCAACTGTGCATGGCTTGTTCACATGGCCAGAGACACAGAACAGCTTTGTTCCAGAGTTGTTCTTCCTTCCGAAACTAGCAAACCACTCAGGCCCACGTCGGAGGATAGTGGGAGAGACCGCGACTGTCTCAACATTTGTCACTGTAGTAGGGCATCCGTAGAGTCCTGCATTGGCAGGGAAAGGCGGCTTCAACCTTGGCTTGCCTTGCTTCCCCTCAAGGCTTTCTAGAAGAGCGGTTTCTTCTCCGCAAATGTAAGCACCAGCCCCATAGTGGATATGAACATCGAAGTCGTAACCTGTTCCACAGGCGTTTTTGCCGAGAAGTCCGGCAGCATACGCTTCTTTCCTTGCGATCTCTAGGTTGTTACGCTCGTTTACGTATTCACCCCTGATGTAGATGTATGCAGCACGAGCTCTCATTCCTACACCAGCAATCAAACAGCCCTCGAGCAGCTTGTGGGGATCATGACGCATGATTTCTCTGTCTTTGCAAGTTCCCGGTTCACTTTCATCGGCATTGACTACCAGATAGGAAGGGCGGCCGTCAGAGACTTTGGGCATGAATGACCATTTGAGTCCCGAGGGGAAACCAGCCCCACCACGACCTCTGAGGCCGGATTTCTTTACTTCGTTGACTATCCAATCGGTGCCCTTGAGGACCAAGTCCTTGGTTCTGTACCAGTCACCTCTTTTCATTGCACCTTTGAGGAAAGGGTCGTGGAGTCCATACAAGTTGGTGAAGATGCGATCCTCGTCACTCAAGCCACCGAAATGGGTCTTCTCAGGAGGTGGTGGTGGTGGTGAAGGTGGCTGTGGTGTGCTGGCATTGCTTGCAGCTTGTGTGCTTAATGATCGGAAGGCTAGAGGGAGTTTGTTAGCTTGATGATGAGCCAACACTGCTCTCCGCATCGAAAGGATGCCCCTAATGGGTGCCTGTGCAGAAAAAAGAAAGAACACATAGCTCTAGTTAAGCCTGCCGACCAGCCTTATATCAGTACTCTGGATACAAATCTACAGCAGAACCATCAAATAGGGTAGAGTTCACGCAGAAATAGAGCTTAAAGTTGGCTGAATGATCAAGCAACAAACAGAACTGGTGCTTAAATTTCCTAGCAATATATGAGGCATGATATTCAGTCCATATTCTTTAGAATAAAGATTAAAAAGCCCATCAATGCTGGAATTGCTTTCAAGTCCCACAACTGCCTCAGCATAAACGTCCATCACAATTCAGAACACAGGAAAAATAAAATCTCTCAAAGACTTCTGATGACATGAAACTAAGTCATGGGGGAAAGCCACAATTTAAACCTCAACTCAATTTTAGAAGTTTATATAACATCTTAGACCGATTTACTAGAGAACTCCCCAGTACTTGCTTTTGTCAATTCCACTTCCTACCATCTTCTTCCAAGCCAAACACAAACATATAGCTCCACTTAAAACCTGATTGTCACTATCCTACTTCAGCACTCTGTATGTATTAATACCATAGAACACTGGCAAAGGGGAGTGGTTCCATACAAATCGAGCTAACCAGATGATCAAGCAAAAGAACTGATACCAAGGTCCGTAGCAATATACCAGGATTCAGAAACTTTTCAACCTGGATTCTTAAAGTCAAGGCAGAAACTGCTGTTAATTTCGGCAAAGCCAAGTGCTTCAGTATACTACAGGCTATCCCAAACATTGAGATACTCTCAATGCCGTCTCCTGATAACCACCGACACGTTCGCTGGAACTAAGTATTGGGAAAACGCCTAATACTACTCGCAATTCAGAAATTTGATATCACACGAATGCCATAAACACAGTAGCAGATACAACCGAGATCCAACTTCTACCCACGCAGCCATCAATTCATCAGTATCGTCGAACAGGCAAAGAAATGAGAAGAGCAAAAATCCAAAAACCCTAAGATCAATAGCGATCCAAAGCTGAGCCAGAGACGACCTCTACAGCCAAACTGCGACAAAAGAGAGCGAGCTCTGGAGACTTACCATATGGGCAAAACGTCGGAGGCGTCCGGTGATGGTTCCGGCGGTCTGGAATCGATCGGGGTGTGAAAGAAGGGAAGGAAGGAATTTAACGAAGGAAAATGAGGTGAAAATGGAGAGCTCGCTCGCTATGCCGTCTGAGAGACGGGGAAATGATTTTTATGATGGAGATCTGACGGTGGAGGCGGCAAAGGTGTTCGTGATTATCGTAGTCTCCACGTAGAAGAGCGATGGGTCGTTCTACCGGAAAGTGGGAGATCGTTTATTATGCTCATCGGACGGCCGAGATGCTGTGTATGTGTTGTGATGATTGTAGGTACACGTAGAGAGAAGCTCTAAACATGAACGCGACTTGGCTCGGAAAAAAAACACGGACGGCCGATTAAGTGTGGAAACCGAAATCGGTATTGTATCCCAATACCAAATACCGAAATATACCGTAAAATCAATCTCACTTTCAATTCCTAAATTATTTTGGTATTCCAATCTCAATTTCTAAATATTTTGGTATTCCAATCGGTACTTCGGTATCCTAATCGGTACTTCGGTATCACAATCGGTATTATCGAGTACGAAATTAATTACCTTTACGATTAATAATTAAATATATAAATTAGGATAAAAAGACTAAGCAACAAGTATTGAGTTTGGCTAGAGCTAGTGTAGTGAGTAATCTGATATCCTACATGACCACATACCACAGGAGGCAAGCATTTGGTAAGTTCGATTCCCTATTAGACAATGAACTCATCCTTACTCCATATTCAAAATACATGGATTGATAAAGGATCCGTGTTTTCTGAAATCTTAATTACCAAAAGAACCCAGAATATATGATAGTTCTGTTTTGTGGATGCTGAAAAATGTGCTCCTGGGATTTGTCTTCGTGGTATTTAACTCCGGATACTCTACCTTTGTTGCATGACTAGAGGATTTGATTCATTGTTGCTGACAATAGAATTATGTTCATTATGATGATGTGCGAATATATGGACTCTGTGATGTATCTGCAGAACAATCCGACAGGAATAACGATGATGGACTTTTCTTCATTCAGCTCACTCTCGTCACGTTCTCGCTTAGGAGGATTATTGTCTTTATGTTTACACCTAAAAAATAATCTTGTACCACTTTGGTTATTTACAAGACATCTATTGTCTTTATAAGGCCAGATTAATAATCATAATTAATGTTATTTAAGCTGTGCCTTATGGTACTAGATTTTGAAGCCCAAACCACTAAGTCTCCGGGAAGGAACTAATCTCGCCGCGAGTTGGATAGACCAAGGCGGTCGCGAGATCTAGACCTCATCGCGAGTCTACTAGATCGGGCTTATCGCGAGTTGGGTAGCCAAAGGTGGTCGTGAGATCCTCGTCGCGAGTCTACTAGACCACGCTCATCGCGAGTCCGCTAGACCAAGGTGGTTGCGAGATCTAGACCACGTAGACGTCAAGTCTAGTAGATCAGGATAGTCGCGAGATCTAGACGACGTTGGCGTCAAGTCTAATAGACCAAGGTGATCACGAGATCTAGACACCATGTCGGTTGTGAGATGTAGAAGGCCCTCGTCTTGAGATGTGGAATGTCCATGGTAAAAGGGAGGCCAGTAACAAAACGTCAGTTCCAAGAGAGAGAGCATGCGGTTAACAGGACAACAGCTGGTTATCCCACGTTCAAGGACACGTCAGCCACGTCCGAGGAAGAAGGGGAGTAGTTTTTTTGGAAATTACTCTCAGACGGTTTTTCTACAAAGGTTACCACTTAAATGCTATATATAAGAGGAGGAGTTAACAGAGAAAGGGTTTGGCCAAATTCACATCAGACAACCCAATGTTAACTTTTATCTCATCTTTCCTCTACAACTTTTAGCCGTAGTCTTAGATCTTGAGCTCTCACTGAACCTCCATAAGAGCATGGTAATTTAATGTAGAAATCTGTCTCGTGAGTCATGTAAACATCGAACACCTCGGTCGAACTTTGTTTGAAGAGGTGTGAACCGTGTTAAGTTGATCGTTATTCAAAGAAGTTAAGGTGCAATCAATTCAATTTCAACGCAAGTTTTCTTGTCGAAAAATAATTTGGCACACCCGGTGGGACAACTGTGTTCAATTTGATGGCTCCGAGGAGGAGGAATCAAGAAGGTGACGTTCCGCCTGGTTTTATGGAGGAGCATGTGGCCGACATTGAACATGACCAAGCATTAGAGGCGGAGGCCGGAGGCAATGGTGGGGCGAAAATCACTACTCGACACCACTTGTCAAGTTTTCAATCATTTTATATTTCTTCTGCAACTTTTAGTTGCCGTAGATCTGGAGCTCTCACTGAACCTCCATAGGAGTAGAGCTAATTTAATGTAGATTCTGTCTCGCGACTCATGTAAACATTGAACACCCTCGTTCAAACTGTGTTTGAAGAGGTGTGAACCATGTTAAGTTGATCGTTGTCCAAGAAGTCAAGTTGCAATCAATTCAATTTCAACACAAATTTTCTCGCCGGAAAACACTTAAGCACCACCAGTTGAGAGCAGTTGGGCGATGGTTGTTGTCCATGTCATATGAGAAGCGCTTCATACCCGTTCTGGTTGCCTTGCTGTCGATTTTTCTCGAGCTCATATGGTTGCACCTTGAAGGATTAGGAGTTAGCCACTATGATGTTAGTGCTCTGCCTATTTTGATGTCGATGTTATTTTTTTCTCATTTAGAAGTTCGAATTTTTTGCTACACATATTTGGGATTTTTCTCATAGTACACACGTTTAAAAAAATTCCCCAAAATACACACGTTTTCATGAAATATTCTCAGTCTACACATGTTTGGGCTTCACCACGGCCGTCAGAAGCGCTGAACTGCTTCATTGCGGTTGTCAAAGCGGTGAATGTTTCATTGCGGCACTCAAAAGCGGTGAATGCTTCATAGGAGCTGTCGGAAGAGGTAAACGCCTAAACTAAGCCAAACCTCGATCCTAATTTTACGCTCGGTTATCTGATCATAGTGGAAAAAAAATTATTCCGCATAATTGTTCAAGATTTTGCAAGCCGCAAGTAGGCTGAGGCAGTTTCGTCATGCCTTTGTCCCGAAAAAACGTCGTTTGCAACCCAAACGAGTAATTTTTAAATTTTGCCAAACTTTGGACGACCATAACTTTGTGCTCTAAACCCGAACGTCACAATTTTTTTCGCATTACTTTTTAAAGACTACAACTTATACTAGGAGAGAATTTTCAAAATATGAAATACTTTTTGGATATAATGGGTTTTGGAAATAACTTAGCTTTAATTTTCACAAATCCACATACATTCAGAAAATATGTTTACGATAAAAGTTGTAGTCCTTAAAAAGTTATACAAAATAAAATAAAAATATAACATTCGGGTTGCGGAGCACAAAGTTATGATCGTCCAAAGTTTGGCGAATTCTAAAAATTGCTCGTTTGGGATAACAAACGACATTTTTTCGGGACGAAGGCTGGACAAAACCGCCTCTGGTTGCTAGCAGTTTGCAAGATCTTGAAAAATTATGCGAAATAATTTTTTTACTACGATCGGATAATCGAGCGCAAAGTTAAGTCTGTTCGAAGTTTTGGCCTTTGTTAGGCGTTCATTGCTTCCGACGTTCGCGGTGAGGCATTCACCTCTTTTGACTGCCGCGATGAAGTAGTTCACTGGTTTTTGACACCAAACAATCTTTTCAAAATAATGGAAACTAAACTCAACAAGTGAACAAGCTTCACTCTCCCGGTCACTAGGCCAAAGGATATCAAATCAAGCTACCAAAGTAGCTCTCTTGGCCAATAGACTAAGGGTTGCTTAGACTTCTCCCTCGAAACGTAGTCCGGGCGACCAAAATACAACCTACCCAAGGTGCTAACACGTAGTATGAGGTTTTTCCTAATTCGACCTAAGTAGGTGACTCAATTTGGCCAAGGAATTTCAGCTTTAAAAAGCCTCTTAGCAAGAAGGGGATTTCCCTCTACCTAGGTAAAATTATCATAAGAGTTGGAATTGGAAAACACAACACATCCTTCATGAAAATACCTCAATACTTGTATTATAGCACAACCACACACTATTCAATCCATACACATATTCAAATAATTCTAGCTAGGGTTTACAAACATCCAAGTGAAAGAAAGAACTACTCCATGCTAAGAAGTGGGAATACACAAAGGAGAAGAGAAGGGACCATCATGAGAGGGTTGCCTTCTTCCTTGGCCTGGAGAGCAACCTTTGAGGATGGGAATCTCGAATCTTGAAGCTTGGATGAATCCTTAACTTTCTTATCTTCTTTTGTTCATCACTTTCTCTCTCTAGAAATCTAAAAAAGAGGAAGTTTTCTCACACTCGGTTCTCCTCCTTCTCTTTCACCTCAGCTCCCCTTTTATACCCAGATCGGCGACTTTTCACGGTCCCAGTTCATGGTCGTGAACAATAAGCCTGGACCGTGATCTTGAACAAAAGCGTGTTGTTTCATTAATGCTCTTCACGTGTGGAGCAGATTATCACGTTCGAGTTGCCGTGATGTCCTGAATGCCGGCGAGATGGAAAAACTTATCCGGACTTCACGCTCTTCACGGTTCAGGCCTCATCATCATGACAAAATGTTGTATCTTATGCAACCAACCAAACCAAATTTTCGTGATTCTCTATTTTATTTCCATGTGCACAAGCACAACAAACCAAAGCATTATGGGTCAAAAATTAAATGAGTCTGCTTATTTACTAAACCAAAACTACCCACCCCTAACTGCAAGCATCTCTTCCATATAGGAGTGGCTATACGGTCCATTCCGGTTAAATTGGCCCAAATTGATCCGGTCCCAGTCCAGTTTTTTCGAGAATATAAGGACCAAAGATTGGTGGATACAGTCTGGTTTTGACTGGTCTGATCTTGACCCAGTCCGATCCTAATTCGATTTTGATTTTAGATTGAACTTGTGGGAATTTGAGTAGCCTGGGTACTCAAAGAATGAGTAATCGGTTAAGTTTTGGGTGTTGCGCTCTCTTATCCGGTCTTTCTCGGATTTTTGGTCGGGTCACAATCGATTTTTTTACCTCAAATCTAAACCCAAAGATTGGCTTTTATTATTTGCTATTCAGTTCCGGTCCGAATTATAAGATCCAATTTCGGTAAAACCAAATAACGAGCCCTACTTCCATATATAACTATATAAGCGATGTTGTAGGCGATTAGTGGGTCCCTAGTCCGGCCACGTCAGTATATTAAAAGTTTTTTTTTTTTTGGTAGTATTAGCAGTACTCGGTCAACTTGAGGGACCGTCGCGGACATAATTAAGCCCATTCTTGCATATGCCAGTTACATAATGGATTTTTTTTTTTTTAATTTACTCATCCATTCAAACAATATTAGGCAAATTGTTTACCCCACTGCAGCAATGATTCTGGCGTCTAAATCTGTTTACGGCATTGACATTTAGCCAGGGTTTTAATGATTATAAGACTAATTCGCAGAAAACGAATAGAACCACCACCCTAGCCACCAACGGAAGAGAAGGTTCCGTGCGCTGGAAACCATACAGGCCAACACCATGCATTCCCATTCCTCTTCAAAACCTGGAACCACAGTGCAAACACCTTCCAATCGATTCTCTCGGAGAATCAAGCCACACTTCTATGCACCACAGCAAGGCCACCGTACATGTCGGAACTGGGAAGAGAACACAGAAAAACAGGAAGCAGAACCAAATGGGCACAAGAGAGACATCCTACTGTATAAAGAGAAGCATGGATGACACTAAGACGAAGGCCATAGGGAAAAATCGCAACCGACCGCTCAAAGACATCACAGATCCAATCTCAAGGGCATCAGTGGGAATAATTGAAACCTGTACACAGGGTAGAAGAAGCTGTTGCAGACTTGGCGAATTAAGTATCCATCAGTAACCCAATGGTTCTTCCAGCCTCTTCTCAGTATGCAAGTATCTTAATGACCCACGGAAGACCCCCGACACAAAGCCATGTTGTTCCATGTATATAGGACACAACAAACACTCCTCCTGTTCAAGACCACACTAACAGGTCCCAACACAGAGAACTCATCTTCCAGAAAATAAAACCCAACTAAAAAAGACAAGTCACTGCTGCACAAATCATTCTACATCTCATGCCAAAGAGCTGAAAAAACTGAGGCAATCACTTTTAGTCACTGAATGGCTACCTAATGAACCTCGCAGCCCAAACACGGGCAAGGAAGTGAGGTGACACTAAGCAGAATTCTTTTGAGTAGGGTAAAAGGGGCTAAAAATGATGAACTACAGAAGTATATGCATGCAAGACCTCAACTGAACCAAGGATAAAACACCACCGAGGCCCAACATAATCGGGCAACTCAGTGGATTCACCCACCTCTTCTATGTTGCTGCTAGTTCTATGACCTACAAAAAAGACCCTCACGTAACCTGATGCATCTGGCAATTACATATAATTGGCCTACACAGGCAGTAGGTTTTAATCAAATAGAGGGAGAACAAATGGCAAAAAAAAAAAAAAAAACCATTAATCAACAGCTATCAGCAGAGTCTGAACTCCATAAAACTTGTCATCCAGAAACGTCTGCGTCGGCCTTCCAAACATTTCACCAAAACAAGAAAGACAGTGCATGACTTACTCTACGTCTACGACATACCATGTCATTAGCGTAAACTGACAGGAATATAAAAGCAAAATCATTCTTTGGCTGTTAAAAGGGAACTCTAGGTCTAATAGGAACGACATAAACCAGAGTTCTAGTGGGGTAGGGTAACAGATAAAAGGACACTGAAATCGACAAAGCTTGTAAGGAGCCAAACCAGATGCAGCTTCAGCTTCTAACTACCATCAATTGCATGAAAGACGGCGTCCAATAGAACCACAAGATTTTGACAAGGCAGGCAGAATTGAAAGTACGAACTGACGGAGGATCAAACCAAGGGCTGTTCTGTACCTTTGGTGAGCATTGGTGACAATTAATTGAAAGTTCTAGAAAATCCGCAGTATGCAGGTAACTTCCAGGACCTGTTGTCTTTGGTACTGCAGTTAGATCAGCAGAGTGAGTCATTGAACAGCTCTCAATGCTTGTACTGTGATTTTTTAAACGCACGTACAAAGAAAATAAAAAACAATCTTATTACAATCAGTCAGCACCACCCAGGATGTAGTATTCAAATGAAACGGGACACAGTTAAATAAAGACAGTACCCTTGCAAAAAGAATGCCACTATTTCAGGAACCAAAGGACAACCAGTGACAAACAATTTTATTCACGATTCTGTTCCTTTCAATCAGTGTTAGTAAATTGTTACAGTAACACGTGAGTGCATAGGAGCCACGTACAAGTGAAAAAATCCAAAATGTTAAAAGAAAGCACAATGAGGCACATCCTAAAGCTCACTCTGGAGCTTGCGAACGACTCGAACAGTCTAAACTATACAAATCAAATGGAACTCCATTGATAGTAATATTGGTCAGCAAAAATTCAGACACAGCAGTAGAATGCTATGGGACCAATAGAACTGATAATAGCAGGACACCTAAGGTAGGTTTAAGGAAGTTTACACTTCAACCAGATATAAAATTTCCTAAGTTACTAACAACAAAGGGACACATGGCACAAACTACATAGTTACCAGACAACATCAGCCAGATAAATTGATACAGGAAGCAACTGTATACAACACACAAGAAAATGTCATCTTGGCTAGTAAGGGACACGGATGCATTTACCTTTGACAAATCACGGTTATTGAATCTCTTCATCAATCAATGCTTAGAACTTCTCTTCTCCACTTCAAATCAATCGTCTCTTGCAAACACAATGTGAAAATTAAAAAAGAGAGATAACAGGCAATTCGGCAGTAAACCATACGCTCTAAATCTTTAAAATGTATTTGGATCAAATTGTTTACAATGTACCAGGGAAAAAAATATGTTACATACACTCGTTTCAGCTGAAACTGATTTTCGAAAGGAAACCCATTATGCCACACCTGCAACACTACTTGATGGCAGTAGGCAAATAACTCCTCAATCAGAACACCAGATGAGCAAAACAGGGTGAACGACTGTCTGATAATCAATGTTTGCAACTTCCCTTCTGTAGTTATCCCTCACCTTAACCTCGTATTGTGTTAACAATGTGGAAGCTAATCATGGAGATAAAAGACAGGATGGAAAATATACTCCATTAGCCAAATAACCCACCAGTCCCCAAATCCGCCTGCCGCAGTTCTTTTCTGCGTTGCTCCTCCAGAGGATCTGGGCTCTTCACCGTCCTTCGCAGACGTCTAATTATAAAAGAACATGATTAAAAAACTAAACATGTGAGAGTTTACTGGTGAATGGATACTTCCAGAAAATTATATCGGCAAGGTACCTGTCCTGTGCATGTTGAGCAGGGAATGTAGGCATGAAGTCTTTCGACTTAGGAAGTGGTACTTCACGAAACCACTCATGGTTAAGAGCAGCTTCAGCACTTATCCGCTGGGGGTAAAAAATGAACAGCAGGGATCAGTACAAAGCCACATGCATGTGTTCAGACAGACTGAAAAAGCTTAAATGTTGTCTACCTTCTCAGGGTCATAGGTGAGCAATTTGTTCAACAAATCAAACCCAGCATCAGAAAGCACAGGTGATCCAGTGAAAGATGTTGCAGGGAATTTTTTACGAAGCAGGTTATACCTGAAAGAAGAAGGTGATACTGTTAAGAATGAACAGGAAATGCAAACGTCGTCACGGAAATTTCAACCAGTGGATGCCAGATCAGCAGACCATAATCACCCAGCTGGGAGCCTGGGAAAACAGTGACAGAAATAAGAATTGACTGTGTTATCATTTTAAATTAGAAATAAACGAAAACATGATACTTACGGATGCTTAACAAAGTTGACCTTAGCTTTGGATAACTTCGAAAACCCAGGCCAGATAGTTTCATTGGGTGTACCAAGGATTCTGAAAATCTGCATTTCAGCAAAAAAGTTGAAGCTCGAAAACAACTTACTGTAAACAACTGCATACCAAGACATCAGCGTGTTTCGCATGGTTAACTTACCTTGTCAAGTTGGTCATATTCTTTTGTGCCATTAAACAAAGGTTCTTTAGATAGCATTTCAGCCATTATACAGCCCAATGACCACATGTCAATTGCTGTTGAATACTGTTGTGCTCCAAGAAGAAGTTCAGGTGCCCTGGATACAAACAAAATGGAATAAAAAACTAATCTCCAGCCTGAGCAACATGCACAAAAATATTACAATATAGTGAAACCTGAATTCTATCATTGAAGGGATCCAACATGAGCAAAACTTAATTGAATTTCTGAGTGATAAACAACAAATGCACCAAAGCTTCAGCTTACCTGTACCAAAGAGTAACCACCATCTGAGTATATGGCTTTAATGGGCTCCCATATTGACGAGCCAACCCAAAATCGCAAATTTTCAACTCACCCCGATTATTTAGTAGCAGGTTTGATGTCTTAAGATCACGATGAAGCACCCAGTTGTCATGCAAATACTTTGTACCCTCCAACAGCTGCAACATTAAGCATTTAACTTCACTCTGACTAAATGGCTGCTTCATTGACTCCATAAGTCCTTTCAGATCATGCTCCATGTACTCCATGACCATATAAATGCTATCAAGATTACCACCTACCACCACCTCTTTAACGTCCACAATAGAAGGATGATGCAAGGAAAGGAGAATGTTTATTTCCCTCAAAGCAGTAAGAGGAAAGCCTTCTCGTTCTCTCTCCATCTTTACTTTTTTCAAGGCTACAATTTCCCCAGACTTGCTATCCTTGGCTCTAAATACAACGCCATATGTACCTTCATCTATCCTATTAAGTCTCTCAAAATCCTCAACACTCCTACAACCCCTGAGCATGTTAACACTTCTCTGAGGCGGACCAGCTGGTTCAGGTGTTCCCTGAGAACCATCTTCATCTTCATCTTCAGAATCAGTATCTGAGTGGCCAACGTTCCTATACTTGTAATCATTATCCCCATCAACCTCCATCTCTTCATCTCTCTCGGAATCATTGTTTGGATATTGATCTCCACTCGAGGACCTCGGATGAGATCCCGGTTCTTCAGAAGCAGACAACCTATCCTTGCCTCCTTCAGATCCTTCTCTCTTGAGGCTTCCAGGGTCAGGGGACACAGACTTACTTTGCAACCTAGAATCAGAGGACTTCCTCCTTTTAATCATAGCGTGGTCTTCTACAATTTCACCTTCGTCAACAGGAGAATTGATAGCAGCTGCCCATCTTGAGGAAGATATATGACGAGTTGGCACATAATCTTCATCTTCTAGAGCCTCTGATTGGAGATCTTTGCCCAATTGGCGTTCATCAGGCATAGATGTTGGAGGTACCTGTTCAACGGGAGAGTCAGACTCGCCTGAAGATTTAGAGACGGAATACTTGACAGGAGATAAAGATTGTGACTTCTGATTGTCAGCACTTCTAACGGATGATATTCCTACTGTTATCTCTTCAGTAACAACATCAGGTGACTCATTTTGCAGCTCCGGCACGAAGGGAGGAGGAGGAGGAAGAGAAGCTACCACCTGTTGATGACCTCCGATTTTCAATGAATTACTCACTGCCTTTTCATCTCTGTCCCACACAATTGGAGAGAATTTCCGCTTCTTCTCGACATGAGCCTTTACCATGACATTATCTCTCACCTTCAACAAGTTTTCACCTTCTTTACTGACCCGTGATTCTGACGCAATTGCACCATCAGACCCACTATCGCTAGACAACTCACCAGGCTCTCTATCGACAGTCGCACGCAGAGAACCACACGGTCTCAACCCGCCCGCACCGCCACCACTACTACCTGAATTGCTCCTACTAGACGAGCACCTATCCCCACCATTCATGGCCCCCCTGTCCTTAACATCCCTCTGCCTCATCCTACCACCGCTAACCCTATCCCTCGAATCACGAACTCGGACGCGGTCACCATCATACTCTTGTGTACCATTCCCTATCCTATCATATCTCTCCTTTGAATACGCAGATTCCTTCCTCGACAACTCAAATTCCGAATCCCGCTCTCTGAACTCATTATCGCGATATCCTCCATGTCTCCCTGCCGCCATATATATATGCAAGTCAAATACAATCAGCCTGCCACTTCCAGCACCGAGAAACTCCCGAATTCCAGCGAAGAAGCCTAAGCCCGCCGGATTTCGGTTTACTCCGACGCAAATACGAAAGACGAGCAGAGATCTCGAAACCCTAGGGCGCAAAGCAACTTCGAATCCGATAGCAGTAACGAATAAAGTAAACGAGGGAACAAAGAATCAATTCAGATCTACCAAGCTAACAGAGAACTGGAAGCTTCCCTCGGAAAATCCAGGAGCGAAGAAAGGACATGAATAGGAAAGCAAAACCCTAGGGGGCTGAATTGAGAGTTGAGACCGCACAAGGAGTGGGGATAAAAGCCAGCGGGAACAGAGGGAGGAGATTGAAGATGGCGGATCTCGACTGAGATCGAGAGGGATTGATTGATTGACCGATTGGACAAGAGAAGCTACGGGATTGGGATTTTCAGGGCACCTTCCGATTCGATCGAGAGAAAAGGCGGCGAGTCGCGCTGGTTCGAGGGATTGACGGAGCCAGCAGAATAGAGGAATTATTTGCTACGCGAGTGTTCCGCTTTTATTAAGCCTTTTTGGTTTGGGAAAATAATGTATCAATCCATGTTCAATTTCAATTACTTCAATACACTATCAAAATTTTAATTCCGATTCCCATCTCAAAATAAATTTAGTATCTCAATTTCAATTACTAAAGGGCATTGCTATTCGTCTTCCTAAAACACCTTATTCGTCGCCCTAAATTTTATTGAAATGACTATAATATCCTTAGTTTTTTTTCTTTCGTACCCGCCGTTGGAAGCGGCGGGAAGGGTTGAAAACCTATATCGGCGAGTTGGGCAGATAACGAAGTGTAATTAGAAGAAGTAGAAGAAGGAACAGCGCCTGCCAGGGAAGAAGTAGAAGGAGGAACAGAACATAAAAAGTTCAGAAAACCCACTTCTTCCGTTCTCAAACAAAGATCTCCACAAGGGGAAAAGCTCGCAACTTTATTTCCTTGGGGTTAATTGCATTGTTGGTCACTGAGATTACAAAAAATGTTTATGTTTGGTCACTCGAAATATTTGAATCCATTCATGGTCACTACATTTAGTAAAACAATCCAAATTTGGTCACTTTCCGTCCAACTCCATTAATTTTAGTCAACTCTCATAGTTGACCGTTGAATTTGTGACGTGGCAATTAAAAAAAAAAATTTAAATATTCCACCTCATTATCATTACTATTAAAAATTATTCATTTTAAATACCTATTAAAAAGATAAATTTCTATAATTCCATAACCCAACCACCTCCCCTGTTTCTCTCCCTCTCATTTTCACAGCGAACCTCCAAACCCCCACCAACCCAACCCTCCACTCCAAACCGATTTTAGATTTCTTGAAGACTTGATCTTTCCTCCTGGCTCGTTGTTCCAGTGGATTTGCAAGCATCTTCAAGCAAGAACAGAGCGAAGCTCCTCGTCGTGTGTGGTGGACTTCCTTGTTATTGGGGGGGATTCCTCGTCGCTGCTGCTTCAGGGTTCACGGTGATATGATAGGTTTCCTCGCAGCTGAAGTTACCTAGAACAAGGTCTGTCTCCAGACCGTGAGTTGGAGATAGGAAGGAATCTGCCGAGGGAGATGCGGCGACGAGTAGGGTTCCCGATCTAGAGATTTGGGAAGAGATATGCTACCTTTGGAAAGTAGCTTATATCTAAGATTTGTGGCAATGGAGCTGCTAATTCCCGTTGGTTGAAGTATGAATTTATGACCTAGAGCAGTTCAAAGCACTTGATTAGTTTTGGGCTTTGATTGATTAAAGAAAATGGCTCTGAGATGTGAACAACTCTAAATATATCACTTTATGTTGTACTTGTTTCCACATATTGAATAAATGCATTAGGATTGTTTGATTTTCGGTGGGGATAACTTGCTTTTAATGAAGCTTTGGGCGCTTTGTTTATGTCTGTTAGAAACTTTGAACTCCTAGGCTGATCCTTACTTAATTTTGCAATTAGTTTGTGTATGTTCCGCTGTAATTTGGGTTCGCTTAAACAACCATCCCTGGGCGGATTGTGATGCTGAGATGGAGGCAGTGCCTTGGGCAGGCTGTGGCAGAAGATGAAGGCCCTACTCAATCCGTTGTAGCGAATCTTGATCTGATGGTGGAGTCGCTGCCGAAGAAGATAAGAGGAGAGTGCTCAGTGTCGCCGTTGCGGACAGTACCAGGCGGAGAGTACTCGATGATCAGAAGAAGAGGGTTGTCATCGTCGTCAGAGAATCGGAGGAGCGAAATCGTCGCGAGGGGTGGGAGGAGGAGATCTCTCACTTCAATTATAATTTTTTATTTTTATTTATTGTAAAAATGATGTGGAAATTGTAGAAGATTATGTTTTATTATTTTTTAACTGCCACATCACTTATTTAACGGTCAACTATGAGAGTTGACTGCCACATCAGACAAAGTTAACGGACTTGGACGGAGAGTGACCAAAATTGAACTGTTGAACTAATTTCAGTGATCACGAATGGAATTAAATATTTATAGTGACCAAACCTAAACCTTTTCAGTAAACATAGTGACCAAACTTGCAATTTACCCATATTCCTTAATTACTAAATTAGTTACCTTCATGATTAATAATGATTACAATACCTCTAATCCCTAAGATGTTTATATGATGTAGACTTGTGTGTTTAATTGCATGATTGAAAAATATTGGCGATGAGACGTTGAGCTGAGAGAAGTTTAATAAAAACTAATTAAAGGTGCATTGTATAAATTCAATCAAAGTCTCAATTGAATGGACTGTGAGGCTACGAGACTAAGCAAGAGTCTTGAGTTTGTCTAAAACTGAGATAGGGACAAAGAGAAGGGATGAGATGGTGATATCTTAGTTTCTAGTCCCGGGTAATCTTTGATTCGAAGGAGTGGAGCTGAGAAATTACTAATGAGAGTGTTCGTTTTTAGGTGTTCTGGAAATAACAAGAGATTGAGTGAGAGACGAGAGCGGCCTAAGAAACTTGGAAGCTAAGATTGGATTGGATGGGGGCTTGCAAGTTGTCAAAGTGTAAACAATAACCAGAAGTTGTGAGCTATATTTAATCAATTCTAAATTTACTATATTACTCTGTATTTTCATATATACCGATCACATTCTCATAAATCTCTAATATAGAATAACACCACAAAATCAATCTTGCTCCCCACAAAAATAAATTGGTACTCAATAATACCGAATAGTGGTAAATTTGGTAAGATATTTGGTATATCACACATATCGATACCAAACTTCCAATTTCAGCCCTAGATAGGGGTGGTAAATAGCTAGTAAGATATAGGTTTTAAACGATAACGAACTGATAATGACGACTAGTGATTAATTGTTAAGCAATGATTTTTTTGCAGTTCAGTTTTGGTTAGTAGTATTTTCCTTTGGTTAAGCGGTAAGAAAACCGATAGCCGTCTACTAGTATAACCACATAGTTTTTGGCTTTGGTTAAGGGGAAACGTTTCAGATTCAAAATCAACCAAATTCGTGCTTCCTAGCATCCTAACACACTTATTGCAAACAACCCTCCACTCACAAGTCTCAAATATGTTTAAGAGTCCGAACTCAAAAGTCACCCATCTGACTCCACTTTTCAATTTGACAGAGTAACCTCTTACCCCTAACATATTTGTCCATTGATGTTTTGTGAATGATGAAGATCTCGTGGTGCTTGTGTGTGATTTCTTGCTAGTTGGTACTCGCTAATTGGATGAAGATGCTTGATTATTTGTATTTTTATGCAATGGAATTTGGATTCGGATTATGAATTCGTGATAGATGTTATATTGTGTTGTTATTATTTCTTATAATTATTATTTTATGTTAACAGTATAGAGTTTTAGGTATTAGTTAGTGATTAATTGCCAAACTTATCGCTAATTGAACCGTTAACATGGTTAACCAATAAGTCTAATCGATTTGATTTTCGCTATTCATTTTTAACGAAGTGGTGATTAGGGCTTAATTGTACATGTTTATACTATCAATCCTTAATTGTCTGGCTTGTTGTTTGTCACTCTTTAGCCCGTTTCACGTTAGATTGTGCTTGGTTTAGTATATTTCAAATGCTAGTAGATGAATATGGAGAAGTAACTATTGTTAGACCATTTGGAGTCAAAGCCGAGACAAAGACAAGAAGGTGACAGATGTCACGGTTCAGAGCACGCATGTCATGACCCAAGTCATAACATTAAGGTCGTGAGATTCGACAAATTTCTAGGATCTCTTACACAAGTCGTGGGTATTGCAGAATTCACGGTTCCATATCGTGACATTAACATAAGAAGTCGTGACTATTGACAGACCTCCAAGAGTGATCGCACATGTCACGGTCGCCCAACACATGTCAAAATTTCAACCATGACATGGGCAACAGAGTCGTGACTTATGCAAGTGATGTCGTGCATTTTTTTCCGCATCATGATCACCGTCCAATGTCATGGCCACGTCGTGAAACTGTGACTTGCACGATTTTGGGTATAAATCATATATGCCATTTGTGCAAGAAGATCTTAATTTTAGAGAGATGAGAGCAGCAACTTCCTAAAGAGAGAAAATGGTGAAGGAGAAACCCTAGAGGGTGATTGGAGCCTTCCATCCTTCATTGGAGGCAAGATACATCACCTAAGAGTGGAGATTTGATCTCAAGATCAAGAAATCATCCCCATAAGATGATTTTTCTCCTTGAGTTTTGTTTTTCTCTCTTTCTCTTACTTTGGAGTGTAGATTTCTAGCCATGTATGTTAGGGTTTGATGATTGATGAATCTTATCCTTGTTACACTCTCTATTATATTAATTTGAAATATTTATAAAGAGATTGATTGACTATTGATCTCATGACTCTCCAATTTGAGCTATTGACCAAAGACAAAGAATATTTAATTAGATTGATTAGATCATCTTCACTTCGTCATTGTGGGTCAATTGAACGAGTGTGATTGCTCTAAAATATCGTATTGGATCAAGGTCCTTTAGTGGAAGTCTAAATTGCATGCCATAGGTGTTTTATGTCGGTTGTGGAAACTCTCCCTCCGATTAGTTCATCTAAGTGGACTTGGATAACTCGAATAGGGACTCCAAGCTAAATTAGGACTCTCCTCGGTATAGATTTAGAGTGGGCAAGCTAGGGTAAGTCAATATCGGCCTAACTAGAGCTAGAGAGAAGCACACTCAAGTGATCTTCTCTTAATTGAATTCAAATCATTCTTGCTTTTTTTACTTAGTCAGTTGCTTAATCAAAACTACATCTTGTTAGCTAGATACAGATTAGTTCGTCGATTAGTAGTAGACTTAGTGCCCATGTTGATAAACTAAACTTACTTACCCTACAATTGCACTCGATTGTTGGTTATACTTTGTCATTAGTTGGGAGGTGCAATTAGGAGCAAGCCAAGTTTTTTGCACCATTTTCGGGGACATGACTAAGTTATTAAGAAAAGTGAACTATTGTAACTTTAGCTTTCACTTTTCGGCATTTGTATTTTATTTTACCTTTGCTTTTCACGGTTGTGTTGTTTAATATGTGCTATATTTAGTTTATGACTCAGAGTAATTTGGACACCCTAAAATCACATCATAATCAAATAGGAACCAAATAGGGATGCAGTCGACGCTATTCAAATGATTATGCACATGAATATAACGAAACAAACCTAAATATGAAGGGAAAACAACACCAATTTAGGTGTTATCAAACTCCCCCGCAATTAAGATGATCTGGCAGAAGTAGAGCAGGGGAAAGCGTGGAGGTGGCTGGGGAGTTGGGGAGTACAGAGCAAGATGGAAGGTTCGGTAAGGTTGGGACTCTTTAGCTTTAATTTTAATTTATTTAGTTTAGGGACTAAAATAATTAAAATCGAAATTAGGAGTAGATATCATTTCTCAACTCATTAAACAACCATTTAACAGAAAATTAGACGGAAGGGGACATTCGTTACGTTTTAATATTAGAAGGGTATGTCTGTGCAAAATTTTAGAAGAGGGGTACGTTTGCTAATTTGTAAAAGTAGAGTGGTACAAAGTGATATTAACCCTAAAAAATAATAAGTTTGACTGAAAAATAATAATAAATTACTATATGTGATCTCCCATTTTGTCGCACATTTTTCCCGATGGTCACTGTCAGTGATGGTGTTGCCGTCGTCACTGACAGTCGGTATTGGACGTTGTTGTTTGAAATAGATCTAGACAGACGTCTTGAGTATTACGAACCAGAGTTTGTGAACGGATCGCTCCGTGTTCCGCAAACGGTAATTGATGAAGGCTTACAAAGATGGGCAAACAGCCTTGTCGGCCAATGATACGACCTTAAACTCAAGGCCTTGATGAAGAGAGTCACTCAAACAAGATCAATTCAAAGGGTTTGATTGATCAAAGCAATTCGAACCAAAGAACAGAGTTTTAGCTCATAGAACTTGATGTGATTGACGTGCAATTCCACACTGGGAAAAGGCTCGTTCAATATGGGTAGTAGCTGGCCACAATTGAGGGTGATCACTCGATTGATAAGAGACAACAATCTTTGATCCACCAAAGATCAAAACAAAACTTTCAAGCTTGAATCTTGAAGAATCCTAGGGTTAACTCGTGTAATCATAATTTGAGTTTTACAAGTTGCAACGAAAGACAAACACGAAATAGCTAGAGAATACTCCCCAAACTCAACTTCCAACTTGATTGCTTGTTGCCTAAGTAGTTAACTTTCTGCGCAAGTAGCAAAGCAGCCCTCCATAGCAACTTCTACTCTTCATTCGAAGGTCTCCAAGTTTAGTTGAGCCAAACTAATCCCAGTATGTTCGTTAGCAAGATATGGACTTTCATTTCCACCTAGCAGCTGCCCCCGAATGTCCCTCAAACGGCTCGAATAAGCTCCCAAAGCTGGTACATCCACATTGCTTCCAGCCTTAGTCATTTTCAGCAACTCTTCCTTCCACAATTTTCTTTGTTTTCTAAGCTTCACTTGGAATGGCTTTAGATAACTTCCTAGGGTTGCATCATCCAGTTACTTGATAGCCATGCATCGCTTTCGTCGATCCGGTCTTAGGGGAATTGGCTATGGGGGGAGGATGGAGAAGTTGGTGTGTCTTGGTTGGGTGATCGATTGATACTCTTTCACTTTCCAAACGCTCCAACTTGCAAATGGGGTTTTTAGGGAGGGTATTGGCATCATAGAGAAAACCAAGTTTTCCTTTGACGGTAGAAACCAGGTCTATGGAATCGATAATGTTAGTATTGTGGTATATGATTCTTGATTGAACCTCTCCCAACAACTCGAGTTATTGGGATCAACTGGTTCTTGACAGATAATACGACAATTCCGGTATGGGTAAAGTTGACCAATCTTCCTGTGGAGCGGACTTCAAAAGATGGGCTAGGGCGTATGGCTAATTCCCTTGGACGCCCTTTATGTATGGATCTTCCAACAAAGAAGGGGAAGAATTGAAATTACTGCAATGTTGATCACCAAGCTAAGTGTCACGCCTGATGGATAGGGGTGTCAATTCGGGTCGGGTTCGGTTATCCGAACCGAAATCCGAAAAAACCCGAAAACCCAAAACCGAAAACCACTAAAACCGAACCCGAACCCGATAAGGACTTGCGGGTTTCGGTTACCCGAAACCCGAAAATTCCTTATCAGATTCGGGTTCGGTTAAAGCAAAACCAAAACCCAAAAATCCGAACGCCTAAGAATACGAGTTGAGTTCTATTCATTGGAGGTTTTTAGCCGAAACCCGAAAAACCGATAAGCAAAACCGAACCCGAAACCAAAACAAACCCGAACCCGAAAAACCGAAAATGTATTTAATCGGGTCGGTTTCGGGTAAACCCGAAAAACCAAACCCGAATGCACACCCCTACTGATGGATTGCCGGAGTTGTGGATTGATGTCGAGTATTATCAGTTGCCCAAGGTTTGTTCAAAATGTAAAATCTTCGGGCACGATTACTCTATATCCCATAAGGAGTAGCTACCGAGAAGGTTTGGGTTCCGAAGAAGAATGTCATAGGTACAGGAGGCAAGCTCAGTATAAAATCTGGAGTCAGGGCAGAAGGAAGGTGTTCTGGAGAAAGGTAAATAGTGTTTGGAGAAAGGTAAACAGAACATAAATATTAAACCGCCCTATCATAATAAACCATTCATTACATTACAAAACTTCTCACCGCGCTTCATGAGAGCTGGGAGGTTGTTTCCGTCAAAATATAGAACCGCCAGAGGTTTCAGTAGTAGTAGCAATTGAGCTGTACCCTAGCTAAAAGAGTAACCTTACGTATTCCTGTAAAATAGGATTGGCATTCTGTACTCTGCCAAGAATCTCTACAAAAGAGGAGCCGATATGTACGGGAAGATGTTGGTTGGTGGGCGGAAGAGAGCATCTTTAGCAGAAGAACATTGAAGCCTCGACGTTTTTGTGCAACCTAGGGAGCTCCGGAACAGCAGCAACTCCTGCAGATGTTATGACTTCAGAAGAATTCTCCGACATATCGTCGAACTTCATGAACTGTCCCATCTGTGCGGCTGCCAGATGGGCATAGCAAACGGGAGCCACTGCACAATGGAATATGCCAGAGAAGTGAGGCTTGGGACCAAAGATACGCGATTCGACAAGGTTTGGTTGAAAACTAAAAACAAAATGTGGTTGAAGTGTGAACTTACCGATAGAGATTGCTGTTGTACTTCTCTGGTAGCTGTATAGCCAATCGAAAAAAAAGATTCAGATGGTCGAATTTCACGATCAAGTGAAGCAGAAATGAGTTTTCCCCTAGTATGGATGAAGGGCTTACACATAGGAGAGAGAGTGGATGAGGTTCTGTAGAACATCAGGAGAGAAGCCTATCTCATCAACCAATACATGATAGTGTGCTGGCCTTGAGGTACCCTGGAATACACGCATGGAATTAGTACAGGCTTCTTAAAACCTCTCGAGGATTGAACAGGCAAAAAGGTTTCGTGGCCGAATTAGGGGGCTTACGATGGCGCCATTGTGAGCACACATGTAGAAGTCATAGTTTCTGGGATGCACAATGGTTGTGTCCACAACCGTCCCTGTACGAGACAAATGCATTTCCGGTGAACAACTGAAGAGGCAGTGATCACAGAATGGGGACCAGGAAATCAGAAGTATAGAAGCTAACCAGGAGGAACATTGTCAGTGCCTTCAGCCTTGAACAACTTAGTATGGTGATTCTTCTGCGCGATAATCACTGTGAACTTTGGCACATCAGTCTCACCTAGATGTTGGTAGGCCTGTAATGGAGAAGTAGACAGAATAGTACAAGGAAATGGAAGAAATTATCCTTGTGTTAATTTGGGGCAGACAATGGGGTAGAAACGCAGCAGCAAATAAAAGAGTTGCAGTGATTAGCTTTTACTGGATTGGGTAGAAACCTTGATAATCTGGGGCAGCTCAATGTTTAACACCTGATTAAACTGTGACTCGCTCACTCCATCTCTGAAATACATAGGAGAAGTCAATAGTAAAATTTATAAGCATTAGAAAGCCAAAGAAATCAAGAATAATGTAAATACAGCAGAAAACAAAATAGACAACATTCAGAAGAGACAGACTTCTGCCAACACCCAACAGAAGAGGAAAGTAATAGGAGAGCATGAACCCCAAAAAATATAACCATTGGGCAACTCATAGTATTAGCAGCGATTCAGTGAAAAGGATGTACGCTATCTGGGACTTAGAGATCGACCAAAATGCAGCAAGAACCATTCATCGAACAGTCTGTAGTCATGAAATGGAGCTGTCATACACCAAAATAAGTTACCAAAGTTCATTGTTAACCAGTCCCTCAAAGTTTATTAGGAGTTCCTTATGGAAACATGGTCCACGACGAGGCCATTGACAACGATTGTACTAGACATAGAATAAAAAGACATTGACAAGAATTTACCAAGCCATTCATAAATATAATTTTTGGAACTAAATTTGACAGGACAAAGTTCTAGACAATCTGCAGTATCTAGGAATGAAAAAGTTTAATGAGAAGTGTCCACAATGCAGGAGTACCTGAAAATAACAATTTGTTTAGGTTTGGCACCACTTGTCTTATAGAATTCAATGAACAATTCCCTGCAATCAAGAACAATCACAAACCCTTAGCAAACAAATCATGCAGCCTTGTATTCTAGAACTGTTTTGTAGAGTGGGGTCATAGTTTAAGAAACTATTCTGCATGCGGCCTCCACTGGGGATAATATACAGAGTGCCAAGAATAAATAACATAAAGAGGATCAAATAGATAACCAAATACTAAGCTGACGAAGAAGGGTCAAGCCACGGCTATCTGGGAGATGGTGAAAATCAGCAAAGGGCTAGAACTAGTATGACAGTGAAGATAAAAGACAACCAACCATCACTTCATTGTCAGCATCACAAAGTCGTCAGGCTCTCCTTGGATTGATCCAAACCAAAATAAGAAACCAAGCAAACAAAATGATAGAACACCCTAAAAGATGACTTCATAAAGAACAAACAAGTCAACAAATCTGAGCATCAAGATGAAGTCCGAGAAAAAAATTGATATTTTAATTAAATACCTCATGATGCCATCATCTGTGCCATTGGCTGTAGGCTTGTAGAGAGCATCTATCATCTCCAACTTAGGAGACTGAGTTCTCACTGATGCTCTATACTTTGTGATATAAGGCCATTCGAGGGATCCAACAACCTAAAGCCAGAGTAAAAGAAGTGGCAAAAGGCTTAACTTTTTGTGAACTTGTCATTGTCCAGTTCAGAATGAAGATAATGCTTAAAAAGTATATCCAGAAAGAAGAAAATACCGCAGCAACAGATGGAACATCCGACCGACCAGGAGAACCATGGGATACATCCATCCCCAAAATGATTGTTGGTGTTTGAGTTATCAAGGGAATGACTCGAGTAAGTTCAACTTCCAGCATAGAATTTATCCCTCCAAGCTACAATGAAGTAAAGGTCAAAGATAACTGAGAAGTACGACAAAAGAATAAACTAAACAGTAGAAGGGATGATACTTCCAATCAGCATACCTTTGAATTGATCTTCAGAAGTACATTTGTAAGATATTGATCCTTAATAACACGTGGTGGAGAAATGCACTGTGTAACAATTCCAAAATCACTTAGACATTTCTTCTTCCACGGCCCTAGTAAACAAAGGGAAGCAACACAAACTATTAAGATGGAGAAATCGACTTTGAGACATGGAAGAGCAAAATGAAATATGGAGAAATAGAAAAATAGAGAACCAAGTACCATAAATATCAGAATTTTTTCTCTGTGGCAAGAGACACAGGATGAATTCAGGCGGACCAGGCAGCTTGTCTCTAACTTGCTCAAACATACTTTCCACTCTAGCAAGAGGACTGCTTCTTCTAAGCTGAGGATCTTCATCGATTAAACTCTTGGGACCCTCAATATCCTTCACAAATGCATAAAAGGGTTTATAGAAATTATTAACCAGATGCAAAAACAACCAACAGAAAAGCTGCAGTAACATACAATGCCCTTTTTCCTTCCACAGTTGATCAGGTCACGGGACAGGCGACTAGTATCACATTGAGCACTAAAGTTGACAACAGCCCACCGCTTAATGCTCGTTGCTTTCAGAAGCAACTACACAAGAGAAAAGACAAGATCAGACCAAGAAACTTCAAAATTGTTAACAACAGAGAAGAAACAAGAGATGAGAGGAGAATATTAGCATGCAAAGATACCTTATTGTTGAAGTTCCAACGACCATTATTTGGGAAGCAGTTCTCACTATTACCAACCTTCAACTGATAGTCATAAACAGGAGAGAAATAACAAAAAAGGGTTTATCCAAGACAGGATGAATGGGGAAATCCTCATTAAAGACCGAAATACGTAAAAACAAAAACAAAGGAAGATTCACCTTGGGGGTATCAAGGATACGGCCATTGACAGATGTCAATTTCTTTTCTATCGAGATGCCACATTCAGAGAGCAGTGGATCTTCATCATAGCGATATGTTCTCATAGCCTGCTTAAGTTCTAGCAATGAATATTATTTAAGATAAAGAAATGAGAAATCATACAGGTTATAAGAATAACCTACATCAGTAACAGTTCTTATTCTCTCCTGAGGTTTCTGTCGTGATTTTTCAACCAAAGATGCTCTCTGCATTGATGATAAGGATTTTGTGTATCGCTGGAGTGAAATCAATGAACAGAGCTGGAAAAGAAAAATGCCACATAAGAGAAGGATTCACTATACAATCAGTTAATGAACCAAAGTTACATGGGGAAAACATTGACCTCCAATGGCAGAAAATTTGGCCTTTTTGGCTTTCCAACGTCTAAGCAAGGCAAGAATCCTGAATAGGTTAATGGTATAGAACGATGTTTGGTAAAATACTCATAAACTGTCATCTCAACATTCTCTGCATCCCCATTTGTGCCATCACTGTTCCTCACTTTCATTGAAAAACTGGAAAGAAATGAGAAAGAGGTCTGACACAACTGAACCCACATAGTAGAGCAGGAACTGAGTCAAAGTAAGATTCATTAGATAGTAGAACATACAGTTGCTGATTGCACCGCATCTCGCTCAAACCTATGATCTTAAATTCCCTATTGTTGTGTGTTGCCTTAATCCTCAAATTCTTCAACATCCTCCTAGCCTGTATGTTAGAAGAAGGTTAGCATCTAAACACACAAGAACAAGTTCACTGGATCCTGTTCAACAATTTATTACCTTGTCCCAGTCAATCTCTCGAAGTTCTCTCACATTCTGATTTACTAACAAGAATTCTTTCACTGGCCCGGGAGTTAGGACCATTGTCGTGGAAACATCTGCACATTGGCAACGATACAGAAGGCTGAGGCAGCAAATCTGACAACTGATCATCAAAAGGCATCAGCAGTTAATCTCACGGGATTATCAAGGAACCTAGAGTTGTACCCATATTGAGTGAAAAACCACCCTGAGTGGTACGGAAGCTAGAGTGGAAACCTCTAAGGCCACTTACGCCCTGCCCAACATCAGTGTAGTTTCTTGCATCATCATGAAAGAACGACTGTCTTACCAAAAGGCAGCCCCTATAAAATAATTAATTTGTTCAGTAAACTATAAATGATGTGACTTGAGCAGAAGCACTTTTCTGTATTAGAACACAATCCTGCAACAGAAAAAATTTCACGGAGATACAATGCTTCATGATAAAGAACTGAATAGGGAGATATAGCTACCTGTTGGCTGCTTGCTGCCTCAGTATGATATCCAGTACTCTCACAGCATCTTGAATGCCACCAATGTCTGCTTCATTACCTTTGAGGGCAAGAGCAATGGGCTTTAATGGGATTTTCACAGCATAACTGATTTCTATGTTAAAGCTTTTCGAGCCAATAGAACACTTTGTCCTCTTGTTTTTTGAGGATGGGCTTCCATGCTCGCTGCAATGGTAAGTTGACTTATCTCATAAGTGGAAAGCAAACAGATGCAACAAAAAGTCATAATCTGCTTTGAACCATACCCCTTGGCAATAGAATCCTCAAGAACCACAGTGAACTCTTGCTTCTTGAACAGTAGAGGTCCAACAGTATATAGAGTCTTGTCACCGTCATAGGCAAACCTTTTACCAGTAAATTCAGAAGAATATGTTTGGTAAAGCTTGTCAATCAGCTTTCTACCAATTCCCTTTCCTTCGACAGGTCTCTTATCTTCATAACTAATCGAAACCTGTCATTCACATGACCATTTCAGCTTTTGCAACATGTAAATGCATAAGACGTAGAAGTAAGTGACTCTGCACATTACAAGAATAAGTAAACGCACAGTGTACTGGTAGAAGACTGCATCTGGAACACCAACAGAAACTCTGAAGTGATTTGTCAGCAAAGGTATCTGACGCCCAAGCTTTCCAACTCCCTTCCTACTCACAATTGAGTATTTCGGAATGTCAGCTTGATCCACACGCTGGATTACCAGATCAGGCTTAGCACTTGATGGAGGGGGTCCGGGCAAATGAGGTGATCCAGTTGATTCCTTCGCCATGTTTACCTGACACAACCATTTATGATATCATTAGCAAGATAACATCTACAATGATAATAAAACTCCAGTAAACTCCTGTAACCTCAAATTCTCGGAAAGATAAATTAATTTCCTACATGCAACACATGAAACCACCACTTTGATTACTATATAAAATAGTCATCTGTTAAGATTCTTAAAAGAAGAACATGAGGAATAGACCAGTAAGAGAAACTACTGGTAGAAACTGAACTGCTATTCTATCACACGCATCAATAGCAGAATACAATGCAGATGAAGAAATTGGTGTAAGGTGACAGCAGCAAAATGACTAGTAAAATAGAACAGGCTCTATATATATATATATATATATATGGTTATGTCTTCGGTGCACTCACTTTTTTTGGTGCATTCAATGCACCCGCCTTATAATCGTCATTCTGAACAAACGATTCATGTGAAAACGATGTCAATCATCCCTTGTAGTATGATGAACAAGAACCACATGAATTTGTACCAAAATCATTCAAGATTCACTTTAATTTGAATGATTAAGGGTTTAGAAATTTAGGGTTAGGGTTTACAATTGGGATTTTGGGTTTAAATTCAAAATTGAATGTTAATAGGTTAGGGTAGTGGGTTGATTAGTTGTGATTCTGTGTTATATCATCATATGAGACTAATGCTACCCATTAAATTTCAAAATTTGATGTATTATGACCACTTTTAGAGGTGGGTGCACTGAATGCACCCAAAAAAGTGAGTGCACCGAAGTAGCCACCATATATATATATATATATATCAGAATTCAGAATCTAGAATAGCTAAGCATGATGATAAGAAGGAATTGCCACATGCCGTAAGAACTATGACAAAACAAAGAGAAGCACAAGCATCCATGCTAGCGTCCATCCCTCCCTGCATATTTCTCTAACAAAGCTTAAAGAGCAGTGAAATTGCCACATGCAGGAAGAAATCCAAACAGAAGCAAGCACAGAACGACGGCATCTCCCATATCAGCATACACGAGGAGACTCAAAAAGTTAATCGTCTAATAGCAACGGAAAACGATCATTGGAAGCTGAGCGACGCATCACGCAGCGGGAAATAGACAGATGCCTAGATCCAAACACCACTAAGAGGCGTGCACAGTCAAAACCCTCAAAAAAACGGAGCAAACGGACGGAGTGCAAAAAATGCATTGCTGAAACAGCCGGTAAAACGCTCGCCGACGCGAAGCAGAAAACTCAAAACACGGACAGCATTCAATAAACGAAGCGAGGAGCACATATTCGAAGCTGAAACTAAGAAGAAAATTCAAAACAAACAGGTACACCCATACAGGAGAAGCAGAGTCGACTAAACACTTGGAGCCACGAGCGCCGGAAGAAGCACAATGCAGGCAAAACAGAAATCAAGCTCCAGAAAATCTCGGTTCACTAACAGCAGAAACGAGAGAATTTCAGCACGTAGAGTGCTGAAAGACTAAAATGATCTCAAACAAACAGTATACTCAGAAGACCCAGCTGAAATGACGAGAACAATGCAGCCAAACAGAAATCGAACTCCACAAATTCTCCGCTCGCTAAGAGCTCCCAGCTGAAGCAGGGGAATTGAAGCACAAGAGTGCTCGATTTCAAGCAAACGGTATTTGCGACGAGCCAGCTGAAATAGGTAAGAAGGAGCAGAAGAGAAGAAGAGGATCGGCGGCATACCAGACAGAGAAGTTGGATTTCTAGGGTTTCCTTTCGGATTTTAGGCAGAGAAACTTGAAGACTGACTAAGTTTTCTCCTCTGGCTCTGGCTCCGGCTCCTCCGTTGCTCTGACGAGCTCAGAGAAAAATGGGGAAGGAGGGAAAGAGTACAGGCACAGCGCACTGTGCAGTTTATCAGGGGGGGGGGGAATTCTCCCGCTATTTATACTTAGCATTCCCGTTGAAACACGAGGACCCTCGTGACTTCTGCTAGAAGGTGTGAGGGATTTCAGACTACATGCGGGTCCATGGACCAGAAGCGTGCTCTCCATTCATGGGTACCGTATCGTTACAAATTAAAGAATTGTAATCGTTTTATATTAAGTTCAAAATTTTGTGACCGTTTATGATAACTACCCAGCAACAGATCAGAGGACACACGAAGAAGAAAGAAAGGGAAAGACCGAAGAAAACCCCCCAATGGAGTGGTGATATAAGGTTTAACCGATTTTGACCAATTTTTTATGGGTTTGAGTTTAGGTTGGTTTCAAATGTTAAATTGGAGTTGTTTATTAATTATTTTGATGAGGTGGAATGTTGACGTATCGTTACAAATTAAAGAATTGTGACCGTTTTGTATTAAATGCAAAGATTTGTGACCGTATCGTTACAAAGAGTTGTTTATTAATTATTTTGATGAGGTGGAATGTTGACTAGATAGATCTAAAAGAAATTTGGATGGAGATTAACAGAAGTGACCATTTTGTACAAGTTCAAACTTTTGTTACCATATCGTTACAAATTAAAGAATTGTGACCGTTTTGTACCAAATGCAAAGATATGTGACCGTTTATGATAACTACCCTCATGTAGATCCACTATGTTGATTGGTTTGAGGAGATTATAAAGCTAATCACTAATTCGGCTAATGGATAGGAGAATCATACTTGAGTGAATTACTAAACTGTAATTATAATTTCTATGTTTGTTATAGTAGTTTAATCATCAGGAAATTTGTACTAGCTAGATAATTAGATAAATTTGAATAGTAGTACATCTAGAGACCCGTGAATAGTATTCTAACTCTACACAAATTTTGGGTGAATGATCGTCTCATGAACCTTCTCAAATCACGCCCGAGGTGCTTGCTTTAGTACACATAATGACTTAGATGAGTTTAAGTGTGAAGGTTTATCATATGTGATCCCGAAAGATGGGTGAAGGAGGAAGGATTTTTTATAATCTCAATTAAGATCTTTGTTTCAATGAGGTGATCATATCATAACATAGATTTTATAATAAATAGATTTTTACGTACTTTTCATTCTATTGTACCCCTCTTTTTTTTAATTCCTAACAACGATTTCTCAATTTATACCACGGGTGTGTAAAGGTTCCGTCCGGTCGGATCCGGACCAAACTCATAAGAACCGCAGTCTTGTTGTGAAAAACATTTTAGGACTAAGGATCAGATTGACATTGCACTCGGTCCGGTTTGGTCCCGTCCAAATGTCACCTCAATCCATTTTTCTTCAGCATTTATAAAATTCATGGGAACCAAGGACCAGACCATCCTTTAACGTTATGGTACAACTTTAGGTTGTACCTCTATATATATATTGTAAAATCACAACACAAACTAAATCATCCGTGCATCTTAAAATTACTCATACTTGTATAGCTCAAAAGGTCTAAATTGTATGATGCTTAGGCTGGGAAAATAGACCAGACCTTTAGAAAAGTGAACGGCTATTTGCCGCCAAGCAAATTGCTATTTGCCGCCAACAAAAAAAAAGAAAAATTTGAATTCAAAATTTGAATTTTCCCTCCCTTCCCTTCCTTTCATTCTATAAATTCGGATACCCATGAACATTTGACTCATTCCAACAAAAACTTTTGTTGACGAGCCCAGTGCCTCCGTCGCCGGCACCGTTCTTCCATCGTCGGCTAACCTCCCGTCGCCCTCAATCGTCCGAAAACAAGTAAGTTTATTTTTTCCGGCCAGTTTTCCAGTTTTCCGGCAAGTTTTCCAGTTTTCCGGCGAAAAACAGGGCGGGCCGAAAAAAAACTGCGGCCTATACGCCGCCGAGCCGAAAAAAATTTTCGGCCGGTGCGACGGCCGGCCGAAAAATTCTTTCGGCCCGGCGACGCCGCGGCCGCAAATTTTTTTCGGCCGGTCGCCGACCTCGCCGCCCAAAAAATTTCCGGCGGCGTGTTCGTCGGCCGCAAATTGTTTTCGGCCTGGCGGCGCACCGGCCGCAAAATTCTTTCGGCCCGGCCAGTTTTTGTATTTAATTTAATTTAATACGATAATTAATTAATAAATAAATAAATACTTAATTAGTTAGTAGAAATTAGCAATTAGTGTTAATATTTATTTCAGTTGGTTTATAAATGTTTTTTTTTGTAATAGGCGTTTGAATGTTTAATTACTTAGATTAGTTAATGGAATTTTAATTAATTAAGAATTGATTTAACAATTAATGTTAATATTCAGTACATTAGTTAATAGAAATTTAATTAATTTGTGATTAATTAACAATTGATGTTAATATTACATTAGTTAATAGAAAATTAATTAATTAGTGCGCATCTAAGTATGATATTTTGTAAATTTGTAGATAATTAGATATGGATGATGCGGGTCATGCGGGTGGGGATGAGTTGAATAGATTCAATGGTAGGGTTGTTGATGTATCAGCACGAAGGAAGAATAAGGAGAATAAGCGCTCTCGAGATATTGGACATCAGTCACAGGCAAATTTAGGGGAGGATGAGTTAGAGGCTCCTACTGTCGTTGCTCGTTCGGCATCACGGGCGTCTGGTTCCCATGGGAGGAACCAGGGTGCTGCATCCAGAGTGGTCTCGGCTGAGTTTGATGAGGACGATAGTGATGAGGATATCGAGGTCCCTCCACCTACGCGTGGACATGGACGAGTGTCGTCTCGTACGGCAACATCACGTCCTGCTATGTATAGGGACCGAGCTGGGCGCTTCGTACCACCTGCTCGTCAGGAGACAGAGAGCTCGGGGACTGGACGGAGTAGGGGAGGACGTTCGAGTGGTCCTCCACCGTGGGAGCTTGTTGGTGAGTGTCCTGGTGGACCTACGGATCCTAGCCTCATTAGGAGCTTTCGTGGACACGTTGCCTATGCGCTTTGGACGGGGGCTGGAGATCGAGGGGTCATCAGTTGCTACAGCCGTACATCGGCGGTTGCTTATTTGAGTAGCTACGTGTTTAGTCATGTTGAGGCGGAGAATCTGGTTCAGTAGTCAGGTCTCCAGCACCTGATGTACTCTATGTTCCGCAGGATAGCGATTGACGATGCTTTGATCTCAGCTTTTGTGGAGAGGTGGCAGCCAGACACGAACACCTTCCACTTGCCTTTTGGAGAGATGACGATCCTCCTCCACGATGTTCAGTACTTACTGCAGATTCCTGTTGAGGGACGACTGATGAGTAGGAGTTCTGCGCAGCTTGACCATCCGGAGGCGGGTTTGTGTGCGCTTCTTGGGATGAACTCGGAGCAGTTGAGTGGTCGTACGGAGGTCCCTGGATATAATAATAGGGGTAAGTGGTACGAGAAGGGTGGTTTTCTTGCAGAGATGGCGTCCAGATACTTGCAGAGCCACGGGACACATGTGACAGAGGCGCAGTCGTACTTGTTGTTGTTGTTGGGGTCCACTTTGTTTGTGGACAAGAGTAGAGACAGGGTTCGGTCGGTGGTGAACCTATTTTTGGACGAGTTGGAGGAGTTAGATCAGTATAGTTGGGCGTCAGGTACACTTGCCTGGTTGTACAGATACCTTGGTCAGGTGTCTCGTGCTGGTGCCAGGGGGATGGCTGGTTGTCTCACACTTCTGCAGTGTTGGATCTACGAGTACTTTCCGGGTTTCAGGCCATCTCACTTCGAGCCTGCCGCCGTTGGACCTGATGATGCTTGGGCTTCACGATGGATTGGGCAGCCGGCACCTGGTTCTGTGGCGGATCCCAGTGTGAGGTTGGCGTTCTACCGTCGAGCTCTTGACAGCTTGACCCCTTCTGATGTGTTTTGGACACCTTTCCATCAGAGGCCTCATCAGGCAGTGCGTCGCTCTTTGTACACTGGAGTCATCCGGTTCGTTGACATAGGCGAGTTCTATGATCCAGCCCGTTGCCTCCGACAGTTTGGATATGTTCAGATGGTACCGCCTGCCCCTTCGCGTCCCCATCTAACATCAGTTTGATTGCCTCAGAACTAACGACCCTCCTCAAAAACGTGCACGGAGCCTCAATTGCCCTACTCAGATTGCGGTTCAGTGACTTGTGCAGTTCATTCACCACTTCCAGAAACTGATGTTCCATGTAGTTGTGGTTCTTCGCAAAACAAGTGTCGATCGCTCCTCTACCAGACACAAGGAAAGTCTTGAATGAAGAGTGAGATGACTCAACTCTATTCGAGCTCGTGTTACCAAGATGAAACACATGGTTCGTGTAGCACATTGCCCACATTGTCTGATGAGGCAACCACTCACCTCGCACGTAGTCGACCATTTTTTTGTTCTTCACTGTCCAGACCCTCTCAAACTCATTAATCTTTTGAAGAAAACCCTCCTGAGTCCAACTCCATGCAGCTTTGTCGAAATATTTCTTCCATACCGCATGTGCTACCTCTCTTTTTGCAATTCCACCAAGTAACACTTCAAACTTTTGCTTCACACAGTTGTTGACGTGCCATAAACATAGTAGGTGGACAGTATGTGGGAGAGGGAAGACCACAGGAATAGAAGCAAGAAAACCACCTTCTTTGTCTGTCACAATGACATTCGGAACCGTATCACCGAGCAACCCTTTAATACATCGCAGCAGCCACTCATATGTTTCCTTTGTTTCCTGCTTAATAATTGCACATGCAATGTTGAAATTCTTCTTCACTGGAGTAACCCCAATAATCTCAACCCATGGCCAGCCGTACCTGTTGGTCTTGTAGGTCGAGTCAATGAGGATGACGTACGGCCATGCATGCAACATCTGAATGGACGTCGGGTGTGCAAAAAACAGATTAGTGAGCACATTATTAGAGTCCTTTTGCAAACAGATATGGTACCCACGATGTTCAGCTCCGTGAAGCGCAAACTGTATCGCATCCATTTCACTCATCTCATCCAATCTTGTCTTGGAATTTATGTTGTACATCTGTTTGATATCATGATGCACACCCCCTTCAGTATTGAGTGTCGTCTTCTGCTGATTTGGTCTCACCCCCGCCTTCCTCATTAATCTTAACCTCTCTTTTTCAGCCTCACTAAACTGTTTGTTGTGTCGGTGATGTTCTGGATACAACACCTTTTCATGGTTGTGAAACC